CAAAGTCTCTGGGTAGTTGGAATGCAGTTCTAAGAGGAAAATTCGTAGCATTGAGTTCATACATTAAAACAATAGAAAGATATCAACCAAATAATCTAACATTACATTTCAAGGCCTTAGAAAAAAGAAAAACAAACCAACATCAAAATCAGTAAAAGATGGGAAATAATTAAAATCAGAGCCAATGAAATTGAGAATAAAAAAATACAAAATATCAATGAAAAAAAAGAGTTGTTTTTTGAAAGGATAATAAGATTGATAAACCCTTAGCCAAACTCAACAAATGAAGGAAAGCAAAAATTCAAATCATGAAATTCAAGATGAAAAAAGAAATATCACTAGAGACACTACTGAAATCCAGAGGATCATCAGAAACTATTTTGAAAATTTATACTCCAATAAACTAAAACTTCTTGAAGATATTAACAAATTCCTGGATATATATGGCCTACCCAAATTGAACCATGAGGATATAAAAACTTCAACTGAACAATATTGAGTAATGAAATTGAAGCAGCCGTCACAGCTTTCCAACAAAGAAAAGCCCAGGACTGGAGGGACTCTCAGCCAAGTTCTACCAGATCTTTAAAAAAAGAACTAATACCAATCCTCCTCAAATTATTCCATAAAATAGAAAAGGAGGTAACACTGACAAACTCATTCTACAAAGCTAGTATCACCCTGATACCAAAACCAAAAACATATCAAGGAAAGAAAACTACAGACCAATATCCTTGATGTACATAAGTGCAAAAATTCTTCATAAAATATTGGCAAACTACATACAAAAAAATGCATTAAAAAGATAGTGCTCCATGATCAAGTGGGTTTAATCCATAGGATCCAAGCTTGGTTCAGCATATAGAAATCAATAAATATAATTCACCACATAAAATAGACTTAAGGACAAGAATCACATAGATGCACAGAATCTCAAGAGATGCTGAAAAAGCTTTTGAAAAAGTATAGTACCCAATCATGTTTAAAACATTAGAGAAACTAGGGACAGAAAGAACTTACCTCAACATTTTAAAAGCTACACATGACAAGCCCAAGGTCAATGTTATACTGAGTGGAAAAAACACTGAAAGCATTTCCTCTAAAATTAGGAGAAAGACAAGGATTCCCACTTTAACCATTCCTATTCAACATAGTCCTTGAAACTAGCCAGAGCCATCAGAAAAGAGAAGGAAATTAAAGGGATACATATAGGAAAAGAAGAGCTCAAATTAGGTGTTTGCTATGACATGATCCTACATTTTGAATACTCAAAAACCTCTACCAGATGACTTCTACAACTCACAAATGAATTTCTCAAAAGTAATAGGATACAAGATCAACACTGATAAATCAATTGCATTCCCATACTCCAATGATGAATCTGCTGTAAAAGAAATTAGGAAAACTATCTCATTCACAATGACCTCAAATAAATAAACAAATAAAATACTTGGGAATAAATCTAACAAAAGAGTTGAAGAACCTCTACAATGAAAAATATAAAACAATGAATAAAGTTTAAATTGAAGAAGACCTTACAAGATGAAAAGACGTACTGTGTTCTTGGATAGGCTGAATTAATATTGTCAAAATGGCCATACTACCAAAAGTGACATGCAGATTCAACACAAGTCCCATCAAAATTCCAATGATATTCTTCACAGAACTAGAAAAAGCAGTTATGAAATTCACTTGGAAAAATAAAAGACAACAGGATTAACAAAGCAATCCTTAGTGAGAAAAGCGAAACAGGAGGAATTACGATACCAGACCTCAGATTATGCTACAGAACTATAGCCACAAAAGCAGCATGGTACTGGTACCAAAACAGGCGCATTGGAATAGAAGACAGACAGATGCACATAAATATAGTTATTTCATACTAAACAAAGGTGCCAAAAACATACATTGGAGAAAAGCTAGTCTCTTTAATAAATGGTGCTGGGAAAATTGGAAATCCATATATAATAGAAGGAAACGTAACCCCTGTCACCCTACACAAAACTCAGCTCAAAGTAGACCAAAGACCAAGGAATCAGACCATAAACCCTACACCTGCTAGAAGAAAATGCAGAACCAACACTCTAATATATTGGCACAGGAACCAACTTCCTTAACAAGACTCCTAAAGGACAAAGAGTAAAATCAAATATCAATAAATGAGATGGCATCAAATTAAAACACTGCTTCACAGCAAAGGAAACAATCAAGAGAGTGAAGATGAAGCCTTCAAAATGGGAAAAAATATTTGCCACCTACTACTCAGATAGGACATTCAAATCCTCAAAAAACTTAACACCCCCCCCCAAAAAAAGACCAATCAATAGATGGGCAAAAGAACTAAACAGATATTTCTCAAAAGAAGAAATACAATGGTTAACAAATATATGAAAAATGTTTAACATCTCTAGCAATTATGGAAATGAAAATCAGAACTATATTGAGATTTCATTTCACTTCAGTCAAAATGGCAATTATCAAGAATACAAATAACAATAAATATTGGCAAGGATGCAGGTGATAAGGTGAACACACAATTCCTGGTGGGACTTCAATTTAGTGCAACCACTCTGGAAAGCAGTATGGTGATGTCTCAAAAAAATAGGAATGGAACCACCATCTGACCCAATTATCCTACTCTTTGGTATATATCCAAAAGACTTAAAATCAGCATACTACAGAGATGCATCCACTTCAGTGTTTATAGCAGCACAATTCACAACAGCCAAGCTATGGAACAAACCTAGGTGCTCTTCCACACATGAGTGGATAAAGAAAATGTGGTGGAGTATTACTCAGCCATAAGAATGACTTCATGACATTTGCCAGGAAATGGATGGAACTGGAGATTATCATGGTAAGTGAAATAAGGTAGTTGAAAAAGCCAAAGATTGAATGTTTTCTCTTATATGCAGAATCTAATCCAAAATAAGCAAGAGGATAAAAAAAATAGAAGAAAGATCTGTGGAGTAGATAAAATGGAATGAAGGGAAGGGAGGAGAGATAAGATAAGAATAGACAGTGGAATGACTCTTATCTAAAATTCTTATGAATGTACTACAGTGAGTCTCACCAATATGTATATCCACAAGACACTAATTTTAAAAAAATGTAAATAAATGGCAGAAGGAGTAGAGGAGAGGGAAGGGAATGGGGGGGCAGGGAAGAGGAAGGAAAAGGGAAGTAACTGAGGACTGATTTAGGACAAATTATATTCCATGCATTTATAATTAGGTCAAACTGAATCCTAATGTTATGTATAATTTAAAAGAACCAATAATTTAAAAAATGGAAATGGGGAGAGGAAGTGGTAGAAGGCTGTAATATCAAATGAGAACGTCACAGTAGCCTTCTTTGAATAAAGACCTGAAGAAGGTAAAGAAAGGGGTTTCGTGCAAACCCAAGGGAGCATTAGTGTCCTCATGTGCCAGGAACTATTTTAAGTGTTCTGCATACATGAGCTCATTTAATTCTCACAATCAACCTATAAACTGGGTAGCTAGGTAATAAATCCATTGTATAAATAAGGAAACTGAGGCACAGAGAGGAATAGAACTTGGCCAAGATCGTAGGCGCAAAGCGATGGAGCCAGGACTGAACACAGGCAGTTATGTCTGAAGTCTAGAAGAGGTGCTTACCTGCAAGCACAACACCCCAGGCATAACTGCATAACTTGGATACCCCAAGATATACAAGCTGGTATGTTGGAGAACAGCTCCAGGACAATGTGGGTGGGTGGAATGAGCAAGAGGAAAGGTGGAAGGGGAGACAGGAGAAGGGCATGGGTGGGATGCAGATCATGAGGAACCTTGTGAATTAATCTGAGCCTCTTTGATGGGAATGTTTCATAGGCTTAATCAGAAGATGCACTGACTTGGTTACACATGTGCTTCAAAATCAAAATTAATTTTTTTAGGGCAGGATAAAAAGGCAAGAGACTACAAATAATCAAGAAAAATACATAAAACTTTAGGTTAATTTTTGTGATCAGACTATATTTTTAAGTATTCCCTTGTACTTTCGAGAAATTTAAAATAAACTGCAATATGATACAGCAATCTCACTTCTAGGAATAGATCCAAAATAACTGAATGAATGATCTCAAAGAGGTATTTGTACTTTATGTATGTATCTGCATTATTCACAATAGCTAAGAGGTAGCGGAAACCCAAATGTCCATTACCAGATGCACATTAATCAATAAACAGAATATAGTGTGTGCACACACACAATGGAATATTATTCAGTAAAAAAGAAAGAAAATCTTCTAACATGTTACAACATGGATGAATCTTAAGGACATTATGCTAATTCAAAAAAGTCACAAAAAGATAATTATTGTATAATATGATGTACCGAATGAAAGTAGTCAAATTCCCATGAACAGAAAGTAGAGTGGTGGTGACCTGGGGAACTGGGTAGTTGTTATTGAATGGTTATAGATTTCCAAGTTCGGAAAGACAGAAAATTTCTCAAGACCTGCTATTGCATAACAATGTGAATACAGATGCTTCTTGACTTACAGTGGGGTTACATCCCAATAAATCCACTGTAACTTGAAAATAGTGAGCTGAAAATCTTATCCTACTCAATATCAGTGCTCAGCAACACAGGGCAGATAGAGTTTCAGCCGCTTATTCTCATGATAATGTGACTGGTAGGAGTCGTGGTTCACTGCTACTACTCAGCATCAGAATAGAGCATCTTACCCATTGATAGCTCAAGAGAAGATCAAAATTCAAGATATGATTTCTACTGGCTGCATATTACTTGCACACTGCTTTTCTGATAAAGTCGAAAAATTGTTATGTTGAGCCACTATAAGCGACATACTGTCACCACCGTGCACTGAACACTACTGAACTATGCTCTTAGAAATGCACTTAAAATCTGCTTAAAAATGGTAAAGATAGGAAATCTTATTTTACGTGTTTGTTTGTTTTTGAGCCACAAGGAAAAATCTTTTTTTCAATCAGACAAAGGAATTTTTGTTTACTTACTTGTCCTCTTAAAAATTTACAGGAGTTCTTTGATCTAAATAGTTGTCTGGATCCTGTGTCTCCTTTTTTCCCGTAGATAGAAATGTAGACATTTGCTACTGTTCCAGCATTCCATAGCTCACCTGTTGCCACAAACACTTCGTATTTTGTCACTGATAACAGAAGAAAAATAGGCTTTAAGTGCCAAGCATTACTTCTGTAACTAAAAATTAAGTACATAAATCTAATCAACCATTCCAGTTCTAGGTAAGTCACTCTCATTGATTGCAGGTTATGAAAACTTAGCTGAATGCATGCCACAGCTATATGAAGACTGGGCAGTGCATAGGAGCAGGAGGATTGGGAAAGACCAGAAGGTAAAGAAACAGCAAATGTTAATAAGTTGACATTTATCTTCACCACAGTCCTCCAGCCTGGATTCAGTGCATGAGAAAGCTGGAAAGAACTCACTAGAGCTCAGCTACAGAGGGCTCAGAAGAAGACCTCTAGTTCTGACTAATGAAGCAAAAACATGAACTCTCCACACATAGAAAAGGTAGTTGTTCTACCTCCCCACCCCTCCATTTCTCTGAAAGCAGATGAAAAAGAACACAAAAAGAAAAAGAGAGACAGACCTCAAACAGATCAGCCCTGCTTTACTAAGCAGTGGAAGGACACATTTTCAAGAGGATAAATGGCAACTGGCTCTGATAAGGGTCTGAGTTTGATAGGGTTTAGAGGGGCTGAGTCCTAGGAGGAAATGTGTTGGTTGCAGCTGGAGGTAGACCTTGGGCAGCCAGGGAAAGGGTTGTAGATAAAGAATATTGCAACAAGTTCAGGACCCATTACTCTCCCTTTCTCCTTGGGGGTTGTTATATTGCATGTCCTTCAAAAGGTGTGCATAGAGAACAGAGGTGCTCAGTACTGGGGACAGCCAGTTCAGCTACAGTGGGGGTCACTTGGGAGTCCCTTCTGAGTTACTCCCATTTTCCCTTCTGGCCTTTCCTCTGGCTGAGGCCTGGGCTTCTATTTTGTCCTGCTGCAATGACAAACCTCCAATTTACCACAGATGTCTCCCCAGGCACAGGGCAGGAGGGCAGGAGGGGAACAGTTGGAGATAAGGGAAGTTCCCTGGGGCCTGTTTTCCATATCCTTCATTCTCTATTCTCTTACATTTCAGTGTCTGGAAACAACAGCACATAAGAACCTTCTCTTCAATTCAGTGAAACTAGGCTTCAGTAGAGAGGGGCCACCCCACCCCTACCCCGTGCCCAGAACCCTGTTGCTTTACTTTCTCTGTCCTGCCACTGCTTAGCCCTAGACAGAAAAGACTGCAGAAATCCACAATCCAATAGAGTAGCAAGTCCCAGTTTTTCAGCTAAAGGACCAAAAAGAGGATCTAGGGATCTATAAAGCCTTTAAAAACTGAACAGACATTAGAAACAGACCACAGAAGACAGATTGAAATCTGTGACCTGAAACTAACCAGAAGTCATATGCATGCTTAAAAAAAAAAAATGAACATTCTCCACAAGATTTGAATAAGAACCAATGTCTCATATAATAACATGTAAAATATTCAGGATATTACTTATACTATTAAGAATCACAAAAATCTCAACTCACATGGGAAATGGGAATGAAGAAACAATTTAAAAAAAATAGTCTTAGCAATGAAATAGAAAACTTAAAAAAAATCCAGATGGAAGTTTTAGAATTAAAAAAAAAAATCCCACTAAAATTTTAAAAGTCTCTGACTAGTCTCAAGAGTAGAATGAAAAGCACAAGGAAAACACCCGTGAACATAAAGACAGAAAATTACCTTTCTATAAAAATGACCAGAGCAGGGCATGGTGGCTCACACCTGTAATCCCAGCAACTCAGGAGGCTGAGGCAGGAGGATTGCAAGTTCAAAGCCTGCCTCAGCAATTTAGGGAGCCCTAAGCAACTTAGTGAGACCATCTCAAATTAAAAAAATAAAAAGGACTGGGAATGTGGCTCAGTGGTTAAGCACCCCCTGGGTTCAATCCCCAAAACCAAAAAGAAAAAGAGAAAGCAAAGACCAGAGAGCCTCAGGGATCTGTGGGATAATAACAAAGGATCTAATAATAATATTCCTGGTGTGGACTTCCAGAAGGAGAAAGAATCAGACTCCTGTTCTATGTACTCATGAGCACAATTCCTCTGGTACCAATTCCATTCTTTGGATTTTCATACCAGTAATATTTCCACACACCTGACTCATAGAAACAAAATTGATAAGCAGTAATCTTTGAGAGAAGTTCACTTTTTTCTATATTGTTAACTTGGAAATGTTGCTCTAACAATAACTTTTCTCCACTAAAGGCATACCTCAGAGATATTTCAGATTTGTTTCCAGACTATTGCAATAAAGCAAATATCACAATGAAACCACATGGATTTTGTTGTTGTTGTTGTTGTTATATATGACAACGGAATGAATTATAATTTAATTTACACATATAGGACACAATTTTTCATATCTCTGGTTGTATACAAAGTATATTGACACCAATTCGTGTCTTCATACATGTATTTTGGATAATGATGTTCATCACATTCCACCATCATTTTTAACTCCATGCCCTTCCCTTCCCCTCCCATACTTTTGTGCTATCTAGAGTTTGTCTATTCCTCCCAATCATGTGGACCTTTTGTTTATACAATGCATACATAAAAATTATGCTAACAGTGGACAAGATGTGTTGACGCAGACCTATTGCCACAGCTACTCGGGAGGTTGAAGCAGGAGGACTGCTTGAACCTAGGAGTTTACAGCTAACTGTGGCAACATTGTAAGACCCCATCTCAACAACAACAAAAAAAGCTTTGTTTATATTATACCATAGTTTACCAAATATGCAATAATAGCATTAAAATATGCACATGCCTTAACTGAAAAAGTTTGTTATTAAGAAATTCTAATAATCATCTGAGCTATCAGCCAGTCATAATCTTTTTGCTTGATGTTAATAGCTGCCTCCTGATGGTGGTTTTTGCAGAAAGCTCGGGTAGCAGTGGCAAAATCTTGAGATAAAAATGAAGTTTTGCCATCTTGATTGACATTTCCTATCATGAAAGATTTCTCTGTATCATTCAATACTATTGATAACACATTATACACAGTAGAACCTCTTTAAAAATTGGAATCATCCCTCTCAAAATTTATTACTGTTTTACAAATTAAGTTTATGTAATATTCTAAATCCTTTGTTATTTCTTCCACTGAGGTCTTGAACCTCTCAAAGTCACCCATGAGTGTTAGAATCATGGTGGATTAGAATCAACTTCTGTTAATGTTAATATTTTGAAATCCTTCCATGAATCACAAATGTTCTTCCTGGCATGTACAAGGGTGAATCCCTTCCAGAAGGTTTTCAAATTACTTTGCACAGATCCAAAAAAAAAGGACTCAATGTCAATGGCAGCTATAGGCTCATGAATATCTTAAATAATAAGACTTGAAAGTTTAAATTATTCCTTGATTTATGAGCTACAGGAGGGATATTATGTTAGCAGGCATGAAAACAACATTAATCTTAGAGTACACCTCTACAAGAACTCTTGGGTGAACAAGGGCATTGTCAATGAGCAATAATAAGAGAAACTTTTATCTGAACTTAAAATATTCAGTAATCTATGTTGTAAACAGATGTACCATCACTCAGGCTTTGCTGTTCCATTTACAGAGCACAGGTAGATTCCATTTCATTCTAAAGAAACTTAGGGTTTTCAGAATAGTGAATGAGCACCAACTTCAACTTAAAGTCACCAACAACATTAGACTCTAACAAGAGAATCATTCTGTCCTTTCGAAGTTTGAAGCCAGACATTGATTTCTGTCTTTGGAAAACCTTGATGGCATCTTCTTCCAGTATGAGGTGTCTCAACATTGAAAAGCTGTGATAAAATGTTCATCATAATATAACTGATAATCTTTGTCAATGATCTTAGCAAGATCTTTTAAGGAGAACCAGGTGCAGCCTCTGCATCAGTACTTGCTGATTCAGCTTGCACTTTAATGTTATAGAGACTACTTTCATTAAGCCTTATGCTAGCTTCAAATTTTTCTGGTGCTGGGCATGGTGGTACTTGCCTACCATCCCAGACACTCAAGAGGCTAAGACAGGAGGATCACAAGTTTGAATCCAGCCTTGGAAACTTAGGGAGAAATTGTCTCAAAAAATAAAGAGGGCTGCTATTTCCACATTATGTATAATTATAATGCACAAATAAAATAAATATTTTTTTACATAAAAAAAAGAATAGAGATGTAGCACAAGGTAGACTGCCCTTGGATTCAGTCTTCAGTACTACCAGTGGGCAGGAAAAAAAAAAAAAAAACTTTTCTTTGGGAACTTCCTCACTTGCCTTTATAGAATTTAAGAAAGTTAGGTCCTTGCTCTAGACTATGCAATTAAGACTATTGTAATAAAGCAAATATCACAATGAAATCACATGGGCTTTTTGTTGTTGTTGTTGTTGTTGTTGTTATATATGACAGCAGAATGAATTGCAATTTATTTTACACATTTAGAGCACATATAGAGTAGGTTTGGGCTCAAGAAAATATTATGGCCAATTTGCTCTTCTATCCAGACCACTAAAACTTTTTTCATGTAAGCAATAAGGTTATTTCATTCTTATCATTTGTGTGTTCACTGGAGCAACACTTTTAATTTCCTTTAAGAACTCCTCGTTTGCATTCACTGCATAGCTAACTGATGCTAGAGGCCTAGCTTTCCACCTGTCTTGGCTTTTAACATGCATTCCTCACTGAGTTTACTCATTTCTAGATTTTTCTTATTCATTTCTAGGGAGATACGTATGACTTTCTTTCACTTGAACATTTAGGGAACAATGTAACTTTACTCATTGGGCAAATGTCAATATTTTTGTGTTTTGAAGAGGAAGGACACCTAAGGAGGGCGAGTAATGGCTGGTTGGTGGAGTGGTCCACACACACACACACACACACACACACACACACACACACATCCGTGCATTAAGATCACTTTAGATGGACATAGTTTGTGCAGCCTCAAAACAAAGACAAGAGTAAAAATAAAAAATCACTGATCATGTGTCACCATAAGAGATGTAGTAAGAAGAAGCGTGGAATACTATAAAATACCAAACTTTGACACAAAGACACAAGAAGAAAGCACATCATTAGGAAAAGAGCACCTCCAGCCTTGCTTAATGCAGGGTTGCAATAGGCCTTCAGCTTATAAAAACCCTAACCCTTATCTTATATCATATATAGATATTAACTCAAAAAATATAAAGACCTAAATACAAGACCCCAAATTATAAAACTCTAAAAGAAAACATGAGAAAATTTTCAAGTTATAAAATTTTGCAATGATTTCTTGAGTATGACACCAAAATCACAGATTTCAAAAGCAAAAATAGACAAACCAGAACTACTTCAAACTTAAACTCTAAGAAGCAAAGGAAAACACAGTGTGAACAAGCATCCATTGAAGTTACAGAAACCATTTCCAATTCATATGTCTACTATGGGGTGAATATACAGAAAATAAAAGAAAATCCTGCAATTCAATAATACCACCACACACACACACACACACACACACACACACACACACACAAAAGGCAAAGAGTTTGAATATAGACAATTCTCTAAAGAAAAATACAAATGGTCAACAAG